TTTATATATATATAGTGTACTTGAACAGTAGCAACTTAAACCCTGCACAAACTTTCTGGAAAATAAACTTTTTTTTTTGCACTCTTACATATATAAATAATCTTATAGAATCAGCACCTTTTTCCCAGGAGTTGTATATTTTTTTTGACATTTTTCAAAAGGGATGTGCCAATTTCTGAACTCCTATCACAGCTATAAATTTCAAGTTATTGACCATCTGAATGAATTGCTAATGATGATTTACCTAGAATCACACTACAGTCACTTCTCTACTGAGAAAACACAATCTACAATATAGTCCCATATAGCTAATGATAGATACACAGGTTTTTTTTTTTTTTTTTTCCTAGCACGAGGCCGATGGAGCATCGGCCCATTGTTATTTTGTTTAAAGCACACAACGTAGCAATAGTTTTGGAAACTTGTCCGCACCAAAAAAGTTTTGCAACAACACAGAGCGAGTTAATAACAACATCTGAGAGATGATTGAATAAAAGCTATATTTACAGCGTTTAAAAATTAGACTTATCTATAATCTTGAAATATTCAAAGTTTTATTTCTAAGCTATACATTGGTATTCTATAATAAACTGTTACAGAAATTATCCCTTGTTTTGAAAATATTATGATTTCAATGTGTATCTGTTCGTAACGAGTATTTGTTTGGAGTTTCGATCTCTTAATTATTACTAGGAAGAACCTTATTACCGGTAAGGAATAGAATATACTACTGTAATCTCCTGAGGAATTGTACATCCAATATTGTCTCTAATTCTACCCTGTGTCTATAAGCACACACCACAAGAATCCAAACACCACAAGAAGAACAAGACAACAGTCTTTGAATGCAACATAAAAATTCAGAAAAGCACAGCAAACATGAAACATTGAAAAGCTGAACTACATTTCTTTTGTTTGTTAGGATTACAATTTTAATTACATCTGTGTACATAGAATAAGGATGTTCACATAGTACAGGGAGCAGCTACTAACACTGGTACATTGGTATAGCATTTGATGGAGGTTATTGTTTATTGGTTATTTAGCGACTGTAGTTTTCTGGGGGCATCTAATCGGTTTATACATTAGATTACACCTCGTAACAGTCTTGAAACTGACTGACTTTCATGCTGTGACAATACTGGTTGAAAAGCACATATACTGCTTGAGCTACTTGTTAAAGATTGCCATTTACAAAGTAAAATCTAAATCAATAAATAAGGTATAGAAGTGTTAAATTCTTCAATTTGGTCAGAAGTCTACTACTCTGATTTCTTAGTTTTGCAAACGGCGGCATTTGCCTTATTGCCTCTAAGCTACTATTGGTTCGTAGGGTTTTTCAGCGTGTGAGGTTATAATTTTGCAAACAGGCAGTATCTCGTTCATTCGCAACTGAAGCAGTTAGAAATCACGTAGCAACTATACCTTTGTACAGTCGCTGTCTCCTAACACCATTACAGATTGGTATTTGACATGGAGTATTTATATGTTAGACTACTCGGATATACTGTAGGTGTAATCTAATCCTTTGAGTCAGTGAACATTTAGTTATAAACTGGAGCTCATGTTAAGAAACTGGATGTTTTGGACCAGACTGGCACACAACATAAATTGCATCCGTGATAATATGCACCTTCCCTTCAACTATTGCTTTAGTAAGATAAATTCCCACATTAATAAATGGCTGAAAACTGGTAAAGCTGGTACAAAAAAATCTCCGTTAGTAAGAAGAAACAAAACATTTAAAAAAATCTTCCTTCAGGATTCATTTGTCCTTCATTATTGTTCATCATTGTTCAAGCCAGCACAAAAATGCAGTATTTCTTTCTCTTTAGTATTGCATGAATGAATAAAGCTTAAACTATTCCCTGAAAAAGTTACATTGTAGCTAACCTAAGAAATATCTGGAAGACTTGAAAAAACAATTAAGGAATCAAATGGCTGTAACTGATCTAGATGGAAAATGCAATGATAAGAAGCAGCCGATGCATCGTCGCTTAGTCGTCTAATTAGAGACTGCTCCTATGAAATCTAATACTGCATTCAGTCAGTTCATCGTGTTGTACTGTACTGCTAGGTACGGTGGTTCTCTCTTTGATTCCTTTGTCATTGGGGACATTATGGTTCATAATAAGTTCACTGGCATCCATATTATGGATTTCCATCCTTTGGCAGGCCTGGCTTCCATCTCTCTTCAATTAGAGACCTCTTTTAAAAAGTTCAGCAGCAAAGAAAAAAAGAGGAAAGGAAAAAGGAAAAAGGAAAGGAAAGAACAGAAAGGAAAAGAGAGAAAAGGAAAAGGAAAAGAAAAACTGCATCAGAAAGACACAGAAGAAAAAGTTGAAAGCTGCTTCACAGTCTTGCTGCTAAATATCAGTGCAGTCATTTTTTCCTTAATTAAACACTAAGTTTCTTTGCCATTATTATCCTGTTTATTTTCCCTTTTTTTTTTTTTTTTTTTTTTTTTTAAAACGTGCATGATGGGGAAGCCCATGATGCTTTAGTCAGACCTTGGCCTCCAGCATTTCCAAAAAAAGTTTGTGCATGGGGACTTTGCCTTCCAGTTTGATGTTGTAGAAATGCTGCACAGCCTTGGTGGAGGTTTGCCTCAGAAGTGGGAGAGTCATCAACATCTTGCCTGCGCGACGTGGGTCTTCCATGTGCTGCCCGGCCTCGTAATCCTGCAGAGCCTCGTGTAAGACGTCCTGAAGTTTCTGCACTGCCTCAACATCCTCTATGTGCATTGAGTCTGCAAAACAAAGGAGCAAAAGGAGGTTTCAGTTCAGGTAATGCTATGGCTGCACAACTCTTCCACTGGTTCTGTCCATCCTCTTTTACAAAGAAGGTCTGCAAAACAAAGGAGCAAAAGGAGGTTTCAGTTCAGGTAATGCTATGGCTGCACAACTCTAACCACTGGTTCTGTCCATCCTCTTTCACAAAGAAGGAAGATAATTACCCACTAATTCCTACGCTGACCTTCAGGAAAACACCTGGAACCACTGTGGCACTATAAATGTCTACTCTTGTGAAAGCAATCCTCATTCTCCTCAAACAAGTAAAACAGTCGCCCTCGCTGCTCCGTGAACCATCTCTTGCAGCTACTGCTTCGAAGAAACGATAGCGCCAAAGGGCAGGATGAATGGGGGTCTGTGCCTTAGCAGGGAAGCGAGAGCGACTGCCCTGCCATGGAAAAGCTCAGTCAAATTCTGTGTCAAGCTCCAGGGCTGTGGAGCTGGAAGCCACGGTCGTTACCCACTGCTCAGAGACGCTAATGGCAGGATGAGGACCACTGCACTGACACAAGGGAAAAGCGGGGCTGATGGGATTTCCTGAGAGGTTTAGCAAATTTTTTCTCCCTCAGGCACATTTAGACACACAGGCAACGCTAAGTATGTTCCTGAACAGCTTTTGTTCCGTGAAACTAACATCTCCCCTAAGGTGTAATTCTTCTCTCCCACCCCCTCAGAGGCTGGTTTATCTTGTCATTATTGGGGTTTTGCATTTTTTCTAATCACTCGAAGCAATCACCTCACCCTGTACCTTTCCAGGTGAGATGCTTCAGTGGTGTAAGTACTCAGTGACGAGCCTAGACACAACGCATGCTAGGAACGAAACTAAACTGCTACATGACCTGGAAAGATTAAAGCAATGGAAGTGTGAAATAAAAAGAAAAGATCTAACTGAAAAATAACTGTAAAACCCTCAACAGCATAGACACAGAAAAAGAAGATATCCCTGAGAACACGCAGCTACTGGACCGTGCTGAGATGACTTTGAACAAGCAGCCCTAATTCTCTGACTTTTATGTAGTCATAAATGCCAAAAAAACCCTGATGTCGCCCAAAGTGAGGCGAATGCAAGGAAGGAAGAACAGTCATGGGTGAAAGAGGCCACCAAACAGCCCCATCAGCTACCAAAGTTTGGATGGCCGACAAGACTTACAGAGCCAATAAAACACGACATGAAAATAGAACTGGTGTGAGGGGGTACAAGTCCTAGGGAGAGACTACACTGTGCAAGCTTAGCTCAGGGTGAAACTGGCACATGGCATTATTATTCTTGAAAACTCCAGTTAGTACAACACTGCTTTGCATCTTAATTTTTGGTTTTGGCATAAAGCTCCTGTTCCAAGAGAGAATAATGACTGAGGAGTTGGATGGTGAAGAACCCACTTGTATCATCGTTTCCAAACCCTGTATTAAGCAGTGTGATGCCCTGGATCAGTATTTTGACAGAGCATCATGTTTTACCCTGCTGATGACAACAACATCAAATTTTGCATGTGCTTCAAATACCTGAATTACATTCAGAAAATTAAGATGCATCTAAGATTCATTTCTTAAAAGCTGATGTGCAACTATTTCCTCAGATAATTAGGCCAGATGGTAAATACCTCCCTCTTTTCAAACACAAACATGTAAACACAAACCAGTAAGTAACAGGTTAACAAAAATGTTCCAGCTTCTATTGTCAAAACAAATTGAAAAGAAAAAAAAAAAAAGTTACAGCTCCGACTCTAAAACAGACACTTAATTATATACAAGTTTGGATCATTTAGCACGTTTTATTGATTCTGATGACAGTTTATCTGTTAATTACACATAATGGAGTCCTATGGGAATTTTACATGTTTAATAATTCTGAGTCTTAGCGAATACATGCTCTAAGAAGCACGCAGCTAAGGCACGCGCTGCAGGGATGTGATACTGCACATCAAGGTGCACTGTGCTGAAAGCAGAGAAACACAAAAATACCTCTCTTAGGGAAAAAGAAGGCTACAACATTTTAAAAAAGATGACAGGGAAATATTACCTCTAGCAAAATTTAGTTCTAATTAATGGGAGACCATTCCCCAGATCCATACATTTTTGATAGTTTTTGACTACGGCAATTCTATTAAATAATTATGTGTCAATAAGAGAAAATCCCTGAATTCTGTGTCCTACAAACAGATGTAATCAATACAGACATGCTAACACACACATACAAACGTGACTGATGTCTTAAGCATAGTGCCCAGCCACCAGGCTTCATCTGGAATGCAAACTCCCAACAAACTGTGTTCTTTACTCCCTGACTCTTTAGCAAGTCCTTGGATATTCACCGTTGCGCTACAGAACACACAATGTACTACTCAAAATAATTTTTCCATAAACCACGCGCAGTTTGTGCAGAAATTACACATCTTTTCCTCCTCTCCCCATACCCCCAGTGCCGGGGAGCCAAGGAGAAACCTTTTGTCAGCCACAAAATGCTTGGCGAGTCACAGACTGACCGTTCTTGCAATTTTTTTTTTTTTTTTTTTAATTTTAACACTACTGCATAAAGAGAGAGGTCTTTCTGGAGAACCTGACTATAAATGTTCAGTTTTAAACCCTGTACAAACCCATCCGATTCTTCCCAGAATCAGTATTTTAATTGCAACCATACTTGAGATGGAAAATAGATGGACGGAGTCCAGACTAATATTTTTGCACAGAGCTGAAATTTCCCCGAGATCTTTAGCTCCGCAGCTTGGATAGCAATTTGGCCTGCAGCGTTAGGAATACCTGTGCTTTACAGATTTCTTACACAGAAACTGTGAGAACTGAGTGAGGAGGGAAAAGAGGAAGAGAACACCCCCAGAAAATGCAAGAAAGAGTAGTAAAGCATTGAATGTATTTGTTGCTGTCTTTGCATCAATTCATCAGCTGGGAAGAAGGGGATTAGCTAGCCCTCCACTGGGCTAATGCAAGCACTCCGCGGCCAGGCAGTGGTCCTCGGTTCAGGGAGCTGTGCCTTGGGAAACAGATTTTGTGACAGGAAAGGGGGTAAGAAAAAACAGCGGAGAGAGGGGCACTTCCCAACAGTGATTAAGACTTCAAACTATTCTTTTAAAATGGCGATTTAGCTTGAAAGATTTAAAAATTATTTAATCAAATTACTATGATAATTTAACTTCCCATTTACGTAAAAGATTCAAACTCATTTCAGCTTTACCCGTTCTAGGGCCTGCTAATGTTTAAATGCAAACTCACTCAATCTGTGCTATTTAATTAGGCCATGCTCAGGAAAATATGAATCTCTACAAAGATCCTTCTTCAAGTTTTAGACTTGCAGCCTGGAACTTCCCTTTTATTCCCGATATTAAACGAATGTAGATCTTAATCCCTCAGGCGTAAGCCTTTGAAAATAAGGAAAATGGTTGAAAACACTGAACTAGCCAAGGGGAAAAGAGGAGGGAAAATAAAAGAGAAATCTTTTCAGTAAGTACAGACTGGCAGATGTAGAAGTGAATTCCGAGCAGGTTAACTTATTGCCAATAAATGCAATCCTCACTAGGAAGAGAGGGCAATGTCTACAAGAACCACTATAATTCAAGGAAACACAGGGTCTGTGTGACAATCCAGAAATAAAGAAATAATTCCACAGACAATATGAAATTGAATTACATGTTAAGTACAAAGATTTTGAATGCTTTTCCTATACCAAGAAAAAACCTTCTCTTTTGTTTCTGGGTTTGTTTTTTTTTTAAGTGGCTTTGTAGACAGTCTGGATAATTTACAATTACATCCTACACAGGTAATATCCAGAGGAAACTTACACCCAGATGTAATACAGTTAAAAATCAGTGCCTATGTAAACAAGGAAATTAAACAGGGTGATTTGAAAGTGCTGTTATTTGAAAGCAGGCAGGATTTGATCGTAAATGTCTTTGCAAAAAAAGAATCCCGGGCTGGTGAAACTGAAGAGCTCAACAGACAAACACAAGAGTTGTTGATACAACATGCTGCTGAGAAGATGGGATTGCAGCCTAGCAGGGGCAAAAGTTGTTACTGATCAGTGCTGCGATGGGAGACAGTGAGATCAACAAATGAGGACATCAACTCACTGAGCTCTGCTTGGAGAATCTTGTTCTATCCTTGCAAATGCTTTCTTTCACCACCACAGGATGGGAAAATAGAATTGTACCTGTTCTAATCAGCCGATTGATTGTATCATTGTGCCGAAGTGGGAGAAAACTGGAGTTCTCATCCAAGAAAAATACCACAAGGTCCAGACGGAAATTCAGATTACAATCTACCTCATTTAAAATTCAAGTTTCATCTCCAATGCAGCAAACAAACGTCTACCCACCCAGGAATCATTTAGAACACACCACAAAGGGTGACAACTAGTTAAAGATCGGAAAGCACCCGAACCGAGGGCAAGGAGACCTCTCAAAATAGTGCTCTGAAGAAAGTGAAAGGCGGTATGTATGTATTTTGTATATAACATCACTAAGAAGCGGTAGAAACCCAGGGGTCTCAAATGAAGTATTTCTTCATGTCAGAAAATTCAGGCAGCGTAAAAGAAGAAATTATGACAGTGAATCAAGCAGCAGGGAGTACGCAGCAGTGAACACACACATTAAGATGCTGATAAAGCACGTCAGAGAGGCAAATATCAACAAGTACTTAAAAGGCAGCAATCACTGTAACGTTTGTGATTTCTTATAGTCAAGCAGTTCACAAACCTGAACTGGACAAATCAGTTTAGAAAGTTGTAGGATCCTGGAAAAACTGGATGGGATGAAAAGTGAGAACAGCAGGCAAAATGGTTCTGCCTTTACATAAGGACAACAAAATCCTAATCTGGATTATGTCTCAAATAAGAGGAATTTATTATCTAGAGTGTATTGTCAAGCCAAAAACCCCACAAAAACCACCTCAGACGGGTGA